AATAACACCCAAGCCTTTCAGCCCTGAACCAGACAAAGGCCCAAACCCTACGCCCGAAACCCTATGAATTCTAAACCCAATTCCTCAACTATGAGCCCCAAACCCTGAAATAGACATAGTCAAGGAGCCTCGAAACCTGAAACCTCTACCAGGCACAAACGGATAACCGTTTTGATTTAAAGGGGCGAATAAGGGAACCTAAACCTACTCTGGGTCCTAGTTGAGGGTTTAGGGTTTAGGGTTGAGGGTTCAGGGATTCTTGGGCTCGGGGATCAATTTGGGAAACCCTAAGCCCTAAACCCTATTTGGGGTTCGGGGGTCCTTGAGCTGTAGACCTTATATCCACCCTGCACCCGAAGCCCTAAACTCCTACACGCGTAGGGTTTAGGGGTTTAGGGCTTTAGGGTTTAGGGGTTGTAGGGGCTCAGGGTTGAGGCGTTTAAGGGTTTAAGGGGTTCAGGTTTAGGGGTAAACCCTAACACTAAACCCTAAACCCTATAAACTCTATAAACTCTATAAACCCTAAACCCTCTAGCCTCAAGCCCAATTCAAGAACCAGATCCGAAGTGAGGCCCAGGAGGCTCAGCCGATCCCTCAGTCTCTTCACGGTCGCCTGCCAAGGGTTTGGGGGCCTCTGGGCGGGGGGTCCCTGGGTTTAGGGTTTAGGGTTTAAGGTTTAGGATACGTGCTTAAACAGCTGGGGCAAGCATAGCAAGAATAGCAACCAGCACTGTGAGCCCGAAGTGTATGTGACGAGATCACGCGGAAGAGCGAGTGTGCTGGGTTGAACAAGTGATAACCAGTAGGTCGTTCAGGAATTCACAATGCCCAACCCTCTAAACCATTGAACCCCGAAACACAAGACCATGAACCCTAGCTAACCCCTTAACCCTCAACACTGTACCCTACAACCTACACCCGAACCCCAAATCGGGCCTTGCTGCCGTCGTCGGCTGCCACGCTGGCCCCCGCCGCGGCTGTGTCTCCGTGGGTGGAGACAGCGCGGGACCTGCACTCAACAGTGCACTTAGGTTGTGAGGACTTCGGGTTTAGGGCTGAGGGTTTGGGGTTTCGGGTTTAGGGTTTGCGGCTTAGGGTTTATAGGGGTTAGAGGAAAGTTTCGCGTTGCGAGACAGTACAAATCCCCAAATGCATAGACCAGTCGGAAAGTTGCGGACTGCTTGTCAGTGCTTACTTTTGCTTTGGGAAATGTGCGTTCCACTCAGATGGGATTTGCGGCTTATGAGATTGAAGTGTGGTTTTGCTTCTTAAAACATGCACGTCTTTGTATCTATTTCGTTTTTCCTGGGAACATGCCGTTGTGCTGTGCTGCTTTCGTACTTGCGTTTTGGCGAACGCAGGTGCTTACGCTGGAGTATTTGCTGGCCATGATCACTCTGGAGCTAGGAGGCTGACCAAATTTGGTGGTCCCCTGCCACGGAAAGTATGTGACTTCGTCCTAAATGCATAGCGACGGGCACCGAACGTCTGTAGATGTTGCATGGATGCCTTTCGCCCACGGACATCCATACTTGTGGTGTGTTGTTTCCCAAGCGAGATGCACATTTCATCCGCAGGGTGGGGCAGGGGGTAATCTCAAGAACCCCCCCCCCCCCCGCCCACAATCCGAAAAGTCAAAAATCAACGAGTCAAAACAACTTCAAAACCCCAATGGATTGCACAAAAACACTAAAAAGTCTGCAAACCCCGAACCCCATGCACACGGCCCTAAACTGCAAATCCCCTCCCTCTCCCCGCACACCCCGAAACCCTAGTCCTAAACCCTCAACCCCAAACCCTAGCCCTATAAACCCTAAACCCTAAAGCCTAACCCTAAACCCGAAACCCCAGAGCTTCCGGCCGTGCGGACATCGGCGCCGTCCCAGCGCCCTTCGCCTGCACCTCAAGAACATGGGATTTGGAGGTTTAGGGTTTAGGGTTTAGGGTTTAGGGTTTAGGGTTTAGGGTTTAGGGTTTAGGGTTTAGGGTTTAGGGTTTAGGGTTTAGGGTTTAGGGTTTCGGGCCACTAGAGCGACAAGGGGCCCAAAGGGTTGAGAAGTTAGCCAGGTATGTAGGTTGAAGGGTTTTGGCAGTTGACGGCGTTGCGGCCCGAAAACTCTAAATTCCAAGCCTTAAACTCAAAGCCTTCTCTGGCCTCAAAAACATCCTGACACCAATCCTGAAGAAGCCTTTTAAAGGGGGTTTAGGGTTTGGGGTTTCGGGTTTAAATTTTAAGGTTTAGGGTTTAGGGTTTAGGGGCTTCAAGAGGCGAGGAAGAAGTCCGCAACCCAGTGTGTCCAACCAGGCAGGCTTCGATGGTTTTGCGGGTTAACCGTGAACTTAACACCCCTGAACCCCTATCCCTAAACCCTAAATCCTAAACCCTCAATCCTAAACCCTCAATCCTAAACCCTCAATCCTAAACCCTAAATCCTAAACCCTAAATCCTAAACCCTAAATCCTAAACCCTAAATCCTAAACCCTAAACCCTAAACACTGTAAGGCGCGCCTCGCGCACTTCCAGGAGTTGCCTCAGCCTCAGCCCCAGCTTGAGGTGATGTTTTTGTTTGGTTTAAGGCTTGGGTTTAGGGTTTAGGGTTTAGGGTTTAGGGTTTAGGGTTTAGGGTTTAGGGTTTAGGGTTTAGGGTTTAGGGTTTAGGGTTTAGGGTTTAGGGTTTAGGGTTTAGGGTTTAGGGGTTAGGTTTTAGGGTTTAGGGTTTAGGGTTTAGGGTTTAGGGTTTAGGGTTTAGGGTTTAGGGTTTAGGGTTTAGGGTTTAGGGTTTAGGGTTTAGGGTTTAGGGTTTAGGGTTTAGGGTTTAGGGTTTAGGGTTTAGGGTTTAGGGTTCAGGGTTTCGGGTTTAGGGTCGAGGGGTTTAGGGTTTAGGGTCTGCGGAGTCTAGGGTCGGGCGAGGGTGGGGAGGCTGGAAGCCCTAAACCCAGAACCGCCCTCAACGCTACCCCACCCCCACCCCAACCCGAAGCCTTTTCAGGCTTCGCTCAAGCTTGAACAGCAACCTAGGCAAAAATCCTAAGCCCTAAGCCCTAGAAGCCCTAGAAGCCCTATAAGCCCTATAAGCCCTAGAAGCCCTAGAAGCCCTACAAGCCCTATAAGCCCTAGAAGCCCTAGAAGCCCTAGAAGCCCTATAAGCCCTAGAGGCCCTAGAAGCCCGAGAAGCCCTAGAAGCCCAAGAAGCCCTAAACCCTAAACCCTAGAAGCCTAAACCCTAAACCCTAGAAGCCTAAACCCTAAACCCTAAACCCTAAACCCTAAACCCTAAACCCTAAACCCTAAACCCTAAACCCTAAGCCCTAACCCCTAAACCCGAAACCCTTTTGCGGACCATGCGGCTGCTGGTTCCTCTCCTGGGACTCGTGGAGGTCGTTTCGGAAGGCGCAGTTCTCCTCCTCTTCGGGTTTGAGGAGGGCATTTGGGGTTTAGGGTTTAGGATTTAGGGTTTAGGGTTTAGGGTTTAGGGTTTATAGGGTTTAGAGAGAGGGTTTAGAGAGTTTAGAGGGTTTTGACGGTTTAGGGTTTAGGGCTGCTTAGGATGGGACTGGGGGGGCTGAGGGTTCAAGGCTTACAAGTAGAAGTTGTGGGTTTTTTGAGGCTAGGGCTTCACAATCAATCAACAATAACCTGGATTTGGGGTTCTTAAGGTTTCAGGGGCGTTAATCTGAGACCACAGGTGTAAGAAAGCCTCGATAACGCCCCTCTTCAGGGCTTAGGGCTTCGGGTCCGGGGATTAGAAAGGGTCTGGTTCATGGTGCTTATTAACCAGTGATAACAGTACTTATAAGCCGCTTTCTAAGCCCCTTAAGTGCCCTAATATGGTTGTAAGTACGGTTTATAAGTACAGTTAGAGTAACATGAACCTCCAAGCAGGGCCTTTGGTAGATTCCCCCGAATTGAAAGGTGAAACATCTTAGGGTTTAAGGTTTAGGGTTTAGGGTTTAGGGTTTAGGGATGATGGGGACATCCTCTTGCATCGCTGGTGGGATCGATTCGGATTCGGCCCAGTACCGTAAGCATATTCAACCATCAAAGACCTATACCCAAAGTACTCTCCTGAATAGTGCCCTACCCAAAATTCGCCCTGTATACCCTAAACCGTAAAGCCTAAAATCCACCACCCGACATCTGCCTCCAGACGCTCCGCCCGAATCTTCCAGTCGCTACAGGCGCGCGCAGCTTGCGCGGCCTCGTTGCTACAGGAGCTTACGGGGTTAGGGTTGATGGGTTTAAAGGGTTTAGGGCTTAGGACTGATGGGTTTAAAGGGTTTAGGGGTCTTATGGTTTGGGGTTTATTTGGGGCCTAGGTTTTGCGGCTGTGATCACCCTAGACCCTAAGCCTTTTCCAAATGACCTTGGAAATGATTGGTGTTTTTTTTCGTTTTTTGGGGGGGGGGGGGGGGGTAGTACGCTCCCTTCAGCACTGGTATCTCCATTGCTTAGGGTACTGTAGCTTAAGGTAGTTCAGGAGTTTAGAAGTAGGTAATTTGGGTTTAGGTTTTGAGGTTTCGGGGTGCAGTCGGACACCTTGAGATCCATCAGGTTGGAGGCCTTGCTCGGGTTCTTCCAGAGCTCCCCCCCCACATCGCTGCAGATCCTAAAGCCTAAAGGCTAAAGCCTAAAGCCTAAAGCCTAAACCCTAAACCCTAAACCCTGAACCCTAAACCCTAAACCCTGAACCCTAAACCCTAAACCCTAAACCCTAAACCCTGAACCCTAAACCCTAAACCCTGAACCCTAAGCCCTAAACCCTAAACCCTAAACCCTAAACCCTAAACCCTGACATGCTGCTGCCGTTGATCCAAGGCCAGCAGTCGACCCTAAGCCTCGAAACAAACCCTGACCTCCTGAGCCCCAAGAACCCAAGAAGCCTCTCGCGCATTTACTGGGGGCGTTTAGGGTTTAGGGTTTAGGGTTCAGGGTTTAGGGTTTAGGGTTTCGACTACTCTTTGTTTGTTTTTGTTTTTTTTTTTTTGGGGGGGGGGGGTTCCTAAAGCTGAAGATCAGACCCCGCAACCCGAGATGCCTTCAGCGACGCATCTTCGTACTGCTGGGCCAGCTCGGCCAGCTGGTTGTCCTCTCTCGATTCGCGTGGCTTTAGCTGGACTTCTTGAAACTAAACCAATAACCCTAAACCCGAAACCCTAAACCCTAAACCCTAAACCCTAAACCCTAAACCCGAAGCCATGTAGGGTTGAGGACTTAGGGTTTCCGGCTTTCAACATTTAAGGCTTAAGGGCTGTAGGTCTGCAGGGTTTTAGGGCTTGAGATGCTTGGGGGGTTCTTCTCTTTCAGAGTCTATGGATCACATGCTTGTATGTTTATAGTGATGATGGCGGCCAGAGTCGCTCTAACTGTTTTCTGCAACCGGTCAAATCAGCAAAGCTCGAAAGCTAATCCTAGGGAAACCGCTGGGCAACGACCCGTTCATGCCATGAGAGTCACAAAAGCGGGGAAAAAGAAGAAGACGGAAAACAACCTAGTTAAGGCTTTAGGGGTTTAGGGCTTAGGGTTTAGGGTCTAGGGTTCCAGGGGCCTCAGGGGCGTTGGGGCTCAAGCAAAAAGCAACCCTGCACCCTAAACCCTAAACCCTAAACCTTAACCCTAAACCCTAAACCCTGAATCCTAAACCCTGTAAGCCCTACTGAGCCCTGCAACCCGACAACTAAATGGGGAATCCTGCGGAGGCAGGGGCCCTCACAATCCTCACCTGTACCTTGATGGAAGAAAGGGTTTTATATGGGTTATAGGATGTATGTTTCTTTTTGAGTTTTTGTAGGGCTTATAGGGTTCATAACCCCAAACCCTAAACCCCTAAGCCCTCAACCCTAAACCATAAACTGCCCTGAACCCCTAAACCCTAAACCCTAAACCCTAAACCCTAAACCCTAAACCCTAAACCCTAAACCCTAAACCCTAAACCCTAAACCCTAAACCCTAAACCCTAAACCCTAAACCCCGGCCCCAAAACCGTTGAAAAAGGTGTTTAGGGCTTTCGGCTCCTTCCAGGCAAGGCCCTCTTCCAAGGTCAAGAGGCGCAAGTGGAAGCTGCGATGGAGGCGCAGAGCCTCCGAGGACGCCGGGGCGTTTAGGGTTTAGGGTTTAGGGTTTAGGGTTCAGGGTTTAGGGTTCAGGGTTCAGGGTTCAGGGTTCAGGGTTTAGGGTTTAGGGTTTAGGTTTCGGGTTTCGGGTTTAGGGTTTAGGGTTTAGGGTTTAGGGTTTAGGGTTTAGGGTTTAGGGTTTAGGGGAGATTCGGGAGAGCTCTGCGGTTTGGCGTTTAGGGTTTGGGGTTTAGGTTTACATTCAGGGCGTTGAGGGTGTTTAAGGTGTTTAAGCTGTTTAGGGTTTAGGGCTAAGGCCCTGCGCAAACCCCTGCATGACCCTAAAGCCCCAGAGCCACAAGTGCAAGTCGTAGCCCAAGGAAGCTCTGAAGCCGAAAGCCCTAAATCCCGCATGCCTTAAGCCGTAATACCCGAAAACCCTAAAGCCCTAGAGCCCTACAACCCAAAAACCCAAAAACCCTAAACCCCTAAAGCCTATCGCCTTAAAAACCTGAAGCCCGAAAACCCTAAAAACCTGCAGCCTAAAGCCCTAAAACCCTAAAGCCCTAAAACCCTGAACGTGAAACACTCAAACCCTAAAGCCCTACAACACTAAAACATTAAAAAAACAAAAGCCTCAAAACCCTAAAGCCCTAAACCCTACAATCCTAAAGCCTTAAAACCCCAAAACCCCTAAACCCCTAAACCCTAAAGCCCTAAAACCCTAAGCCCTCAACCCCCCAAACCCCTAAAATCCCTAAACCCCTAACCCCTAAAACTCTTAAACCCCAAAAATCCTAAACCCCGAAACCCTAAAAGCCTTCAACCCCAAAACCCGAAGCTGTAAACTCTAAAGAATCCTAACCCCTAACCCCTTAAACCCCTAAAAACATAACAAAATGACAAATAATAATGACAACAACAATGTAACAAAAAAAGAACTAATGATAACAAGAATAGCAATGATAAGTTTAGAAATTCATAACAAAATAATCATGATGATAATAATAATAATAACTTTCATAGTAATAATAACAGATAAAAAATCACAGTCAGGCGGCATGAGGAGTGCTGAAGTGAACACCATATCCTTAAATCCTGAACCCCAGGGCTTACGATTTAGGGTCTAGGGTTTAGGGAAGCTGCCACAACCCTAAACCCTAAACCCTAAACCCTAGACCCTAGACCCTAAACCCTAAACCCTAAACCCTAAACCCTAAACCCTGAACCCTAGCTGCCCCAACCCTAAACCCTAAACCGGCCTCCTCGAGCATGCCGGCTTTCACCGACAGCTGCTTCTCCAGCTGTAGGACATAGTCCTGCAAGCACTGGCTCTAGTTCCGAGCAAACCCTAAACCCTAAACCCTAAACCCTCGACCCTAAACCCTAAACCTTGTTGATCCCAAGCCCGACTCCCCAGACCCTTGAAGTCCAACGAGGATGTAGTACACCGCTCGTCACCCGAGTCCCCGAAAGACTGTCCCTCTACCCAAGCAAGGTTCTGGCATACACTAAACCCTGAACCCTAACCCTACACCCTGAACCCTCTCCCCTAAACCCTGAGAGAGGCTAAGGCATTCCTTAATTCGTTCTTCGGTGTGGTGGTGAGCACCCAGGGCTTCGGGACTTGGGTTTAGGGTGGTGGTGGGGGCGGGGCGGGGGGGGGGGGGGGGGGGGGGGGGGGGCGGGGTGTCCACTATGGTCCACTGTGAACATGAAGCATCAGGGGTGAGGGCTTAGGGCACGTCAACCGAATGTCGGGGCCTTAATAATTAAACTAAGGCTTTTGGGGGTTGTTATAGTATAAGTATAAACATATAGGCACCAAGGGAATAGTAATAGTAACTATCCCGACCCCTATATTATTCTTGCATTGCTCGGGGCCAGTAGCTCTGCTGCCTTTGCAGGAAACGACCAGAAGAGGGCGAAAAGGGTCATTTTTGGCAGACTCGTTTTTGAGGGTATGTAGCATAGCGTCTAGGGTTCAGGGCTCTCCGAAATGCCAGAACATACTTCAATGCCAAAAACCTGGATACTCTGAACCCAAGATGCTCGGGTTTCGGAAAAGCGTGCTCACTCGGGGTGCGTGCTTTCAGGCTGACTGCGCACTTGCTTCGCCAACGCACGCAAACGAGCAAGCACCCAAAAGCACAAAGCACCCAACCTGAGCTTAGGATGGCCATTCAGCGCTGTTTTGAGTTTTGGTTCCTCATGATATGCCAAAACAGCCTGTTCGTGCAGGAGCCACGAAAAGGGTACCCCCAAAACCTTAAACCCTACATCCCCTCTTTTAGTGTGAAACTCCCCCTGTCCATGTTAACCAGACAGGCCCCGATAAAGCGGCCTCGAGGTACGGGTCGTATGCGGGCGACTTCGCGTCGGACGCAAACTGGCGGGCTTCAGAGTTTAGAACCCTACACTTGGGATGTTTTCGCTTAGACTCACAGTCCTGCATAGGGATTCTAATACCCCCCTATGATATCCCCATCAAGGACGGGTAGTATAAGGGGGAACATCCCCCAAACCCTAAACCCAAAACCGCACATCCCGGCCTAACAGCCTGGAGGTTGATGGCACTGATTTACAGTAATCAATTATACCTGCATGTAAGTGCCGTAATATAGTTATAAGTACAGTTATAAGTACAGACAGCTTGGTCCCAGGTGTATCAGATGCAAGCTGGAGGTCTTCAGAGTTTAGGCTAGGGTTCAGGAGTTTAGGGCTTAGGTTTAGGGTTTCGGGTTTAAGGTTTCGGGTTTAGGGTTAGGGTCCAGAGTTCAGGGGGATGGATTTGGGGATCCTGCACAAGGTCAGACCTTGGAAAGCTACCCTTGCAACCTTGAATCCCAGACCCTACAGGTTGAGAGTTTAGGTTTGAGGGTCAGGGTTGACGCGAAACACCCATGTGCTGTTTTGTCTACAGGCTCCCTCTCGCTCTCTATATATATATATGTATGTACATGTACATGTACATGTACATGTACATGTACATGTACATGTATATGTATATGCATATATATGGTTGAGAGTTTACGGCTGCATGGAAACACGCTACTATCATACCCCTTTATACCCCAAATATAATAGAATCCCCTTAAAGGGACCACCAGAAAGGGTACCCCCCCATTTTGGGAAATACCCATATGTACATACGCATATGTGTATATACAAAGGTCAAGAATCTTCCTGAGAAGGGAAATCAGCTTCCTGGCTTCGGCAAGCAACCTCAATCCCTCAACCCCCTCTTACGGAGGATGCAAGGAACTGAAAATCTGCGTCCCGAAAAGTTTAATACCTAAACACCCAACCCGTTTTTCCTTTAGAAACAAGAGCACCAAAGCTGCACCAGAAGAAACCTCCAACTCGGAAATAACCCCAAACCCACAATTTCGAACCCCAAATCCTAGACCCTAGACCCGAGACCCTAAACCCTAAACCCTAAACCCTAAACCCCAAACCCCTAAACCCTAAACCCTAAACCCTAAACCCTAAACCCTAAACCCTAAACCCTAGCGCGCGTCATGCCTCGTCGTCCTCATCCACGGTTTCTACGGAGTGCTCCGGAGTCATGATCCGCATTTAAGAGTCCAGGGTGGAGGCTTTCGGGTTAAGGGGGTCTGGGGCTTAAGGGTGCAGTGGTTAGGGTGCAGTGGTTAGGGTGTAAGCTCTAGGGTTTAGGGTTTAGGGTTTAGGGCTGAAACCTTCGGGCTTAAGGGTCGAGGGCTTAAGGGTTGAGGGCTTCAGGGTTTAGGGCTTAGGGCTTAAGTTAAGGGTCAGGGCTTAAGGGTCTATCGGGGTTAGGGCCTATGGGCTTTCAGGGTTGAGAGGTCAGGCCCTTATGAGGTCAGGCTTCTGGGCGTGCAGGTCGGACTTTGGCTTAAAGGTTAAACTAGAGAGCAGATGTGGAAACTACACTGGCAAATGCAAGTTTTGTCCTGCTTCGGGTGGAGACCTAAACGCTCAAACCCCACCTGAGTTACGAACTCCAGCTGTTTAGGGTTCGGGGTGTTCATTGCTTCGAGACCCTAAACCCTAAACCCTAAACCATTTAGGGCTTTATGCTTGCTTTGTGCCTTTGAGCGTTAACAGCCATGATCTCTGCCACCCAGGCTGACGCGACTGCGGCGCAACGGGACGGATCACATGCGGCTCCGTGCCAGCAGAAGGGGAACAGAGCCCCTAAACCCAAGAAACCCTAAACCGTAAACCCCAAACACTAAGCCCCAAACCCTAGATTAAACCCTAAACCCTTAAACTCAAAACACCCTCTGCAGCCCTAGCCCCTATAAGCCCTATAAACCCTACGCGCAGCGCATCCCACAATCTTCTAGGGTGGGACACATTGAGGGTTAAGGGTTAAGGGCTTTGGGATTGAAGGGCTGAAGGGCTCAAGGATGTGTTTCGGAATTTCGGGGTTTAGGGTTTTGGGATTTTTGGGGGGGGTTCTGGGGGGGCTTCGGGCTTTGGGTTTTGGATTTGGGGTTTGGGGTTTCGGATTTACAGTAGGGTTTAGGGCTTAGGGTTTAGGCCTGCCGGTGGCTGCCAGCAAAGGTGCAGGGGGTCTTATCAAGTCACTTCTCTCCTTTTTTAAGGTCTAGGGGCGAATTTCGTGCCCTATCTCTAGTGTAGGGGACCGTTGAGGGCAGTTGCCAGGGACCCCAGACAAGATTGCGACACCCAAAATGCCCCTCGACTCGAATCGAGCTGGCGCGGACACGCCTCTAAGTCACCGCCTCCTCAATACTCAACCACAAGCCCCAAGCTTGGCGTGGACGATGGCGAGGTTGCGTGGCTTGGAAGGGATACCCTAAACCCTCAACCCTAAACCCTAAACCCTATTCCCTCTGCTTAGGTTCTGGTGTTTCATGGCTGAGGCTTTCGGGGGTTTGGGTCGCTAAGGTTTCCAGTCCAGAGGTTTAGGGTGATAGGGTTTAGGGTTTAGGGTTTAGGGTTTAGGGTTTAGGGTTTAGGGTTTAGGGTTTAGGGTTTAGGGTTAGGGTTTAGGGTTTAGGGTTTAGGGTTTAGGGTTTAGGGATCTGGGGGGTTTGAGGGTTTGGGAGGTTGAGGGTTCTGGGGCTCAGGCTTCCTTTGCTACGGCTTGGGGCTTAGGGTGGAAGAGCCTAGACTAGGATCCCCAGGAACCTGGGAGTAATAAGGGCTCCCTTTTTGGTATTGGGTAGTTGTATAAGGAACCTAAGATCCCAAAAAAGGAAAAAAAGGGCCCACTGGGACACCTAGTAGACCTGGTGGCTCATTTGCTGTCGCCATCACGAAGGCTACGGCCCAGGTTCGGTGATGGCATACGGAGGCCAGGCGAAAACCTGAGCTGAGCCACAGCAGACGGAATGTTTCTGAGGGGGAGGACCCTACCTAAACCCTCCTCGACCCTTTTAGGGCTTACAGGGCTTAGGGCCACTTGCGAAGGGGAGTTCCCAAGTAGGGTACCCGAGTAGATTGGGTCTGCCCCTAAATCATCTGTTCAGGCTTTAGGGGCTCGGGCGTTGGGGCCCGAAGCTCGGAACCCTAAACGTCTTGGGGCCTGAAAACAAAGTTTAAGGGGGAGGATGGGCGGAATGGGGGTGAAGTGGGGAATTGGAGGGAGGGGAAAGTGGGGGGGGGGGGGGGTGGGGGTGGGGGGAACCCTGAACCCTGAACCCTGAACCCTAAACCCTCGAAACCCAAACCCTAAACCCTTAACCCGAAACCCTAAACCCTATACCTTTGCTTAGCCCCAAGCTCGAAGAAGCCGCTCACTTCGGGCACCCGCCTGCCGCCAGCTGACAGCTTACCCAGGCTTCCCAGGGTTTAGGCTTTAGGGTTCAGGGTTTAAGGATAAAACCGTTAAACCATGAACCCCGGAATCATAAAACCTAAAGCCTAAACCCTGAAACCCGTTTTTCCCTAAGCCCTAAAACCCTGTGTACTAGACCCTACAACCGACACTTGCATGCCTGCAGGTCGCACAAAAAACCATCTCAACCCGACACCCTCCAAACGGGTTGGGGTTCATGCAAGGCTTTGGGTTTTGGGGCTTCAGGGTTTTAGGGTCGTACCCTAAACCCTAAACCCTAAACCCTAAACCTTAAACCCTAAACTGGATTTAGGGCTTCCTGGACCCTCTCGACCCACATGATACGCACCTGCTCAGACGTGTCCTCCTTGCCGGCCAACTTTGTGACCTCAGGGAGCTATCTAGGGTTTAGGGTTTAGGGGTTAGGGTTTACGGTTTAGGGTTTAGGGTTTAGGGTTTAGGGTTTAGGGTTCGCAGCACACCTGACATCCTCAACTGCGGACCTTACATGATGGCAGCCGTTTCATGAAGCCAATAGGGGGGCCTGCAAGTCGAAAGAGAACCTAAGAGATGGGAAGCCCAAGGATGAGGCTCAGTCTAGGGCTCCAAGTATGGGCCCTTTGATTTGGGTCCCTAGTCTTGCAACCCTAACATACACTCTATATGTTTCAAAAATAATAAGGGGGCCCGTATCCCTTCAAGCAAGGGTAAGGGTACAAACTCCTCGTTGTTCCCTTCTAGGGAGATGGGGAACGATCGCGTCCGTAGTGATCCCTGTGCGCACTTCGGCGCCGGACCAGCTCCAGGAACGCCTGAGATGGGGCATTGGGTGCATTGGTGATACTCGTCGATGCCGTAGGTGGGGTTGCTGGCGTCTCCGGGACGCGGTCGTCGTCCATCGGTGCTGGAATTGGCACCGGAGGTGGAGGTGGCGGTGGTAGCGCCAACCTTGGTTTCGCCGCGGCCCTGGCGATCTCGATGACGTCCGTTCTCATCCTCCTTCTTTCTTGATACGCCTGACCAGAAACCAGTCCCATCTCCAACTCCATCCTCAGGCTCATTGGACGGAATGCACCCTATGCTTCCACCCGTAGATTTCGGGTTCGAGCTTGGGATTGAGGAGTCTGTGTGCTCAGGGCTGAGGGACAATGTCAAGGCTGTCGAGACCCGGAATGCTCAAGAAGCCTGCCAGCAACCTCCAAAAGGATTTCGGGTTTAGGGGGCCTCCTAAGAATTGCTGTGACTTGGGGGGGGGGGGGGGGGGTACGTACGCAAGGGGCAGCAAGGGTACATACCACCATGACTAGGGGGCATGAACCCCGAATCTTGGCAGCCGAGTAACCACATCTTAATACGGGCAACCCTTTTTGTGTTGGTTACTTTATAAGGGAACCTTTAACCAAAAAGGGAAAAGGGTACCACTAAACTACCAAGGAATTCGAAGAAAAAGTCCCCAGGCAGGATAAGCCTCTGACAGTTAGGCGCAATCTGACAGCCCGAGACCCAGGGTTTAGGGTTTAGGGTTTAGGGTTTAGGGCTTAGGGTTTAAAGACCTCGGAGCGGCACTCGCACCACGCAGCTGAGCATGCGGTCAGGGTCCCCCGACCTTTCGCTAAGGAACTTAGATGAAGCTCCCATAATGAGGGTCTAGGGTCTAGGGTTTAGGGTTTGGGGTTTGGGGTTTGGTGTTTGGGGTTTTCGGTCGTAGGGTTTGGGGTTTGGGGTTTAGGGTTTGGGGTTTAGGGTTTGGGGTTTAGGGTTTACGGTTTTAGGGTTCGGGGATGAGAGTGCATAGACTTGTCGCCCATACGCGGGAGAAGAATTCCCTCAGCAGCAGCAATGTATTGGGGCTTAGACTAGTGCCTAGCAAGGACTTAAAGATCAAGGTACCTTAATCGATATCTAGACCCAAGAGTAACCTAGGAATAAAAAAGGTGCCCTTGTTGGTTTAGAGGAGATTCTGCAGGAAACTAAACCCCAAAAAAGGCATAAGGGCTTACCCGGGCTCCCAGTGTAATATATGTGCGTTTACAACCCTGTCGCGAAGAGCCAGTAAGCGCTGGCTTGAGCTTGTAGGCCGTAGGATTTGGCAGCTTGGGCGAGGAATTGAATCTTAAAACACGGACTCAAACCCTGAGGGAATGGCATTGCACAAGTTGCGCTCCGGGTTCACTACCAGGTTCGGCGGCGTAAACCACTTTTTGTCCTTGCAAAGTTCAGGAAGTTCAATGGCCGCATATATCGACATGCCTTCCATCAGCATGCCGGTGAGTTTGCCCGCCAACTTTGTATCGCACTCGCCGACAGCTGTATATATGAGTTCTCCAAACTCTTTTGTTCTGCTTCCTGTAGCCGATTCATACGGAGGACCAACCCTAAACCCTAAACCCTAAACCCTAAACCCTAAACTCTAAACCCTAAACCCTAAACCCTAAACCCTAGACCACACCTCCTCAAACTCTTCATTGGCATCACGGGTTGCCATCTTTCTGTCCCGCAGCATGCGTCACTTCGACGCCTCGGTACCGTGTCCAGAGGTTTAGGGTTTCGGGTTTAGGGTTTAGGTTTTAGGGTTTAGGGTTGAGTGTTTGGGGTTTAGGGTCTATTGCTCTTTTTCAGAGACCTTCAACAGCGCCCCTTTGAAGCCTTGCGGCCGCTGCCCAACGGAGACTTTCCCCGAGCCTTGACCCCAAAAACCTCAGACCTTTTGGAGAAGAAAAATGCCTGAAACCCCAAGACCCTCGGGAAAGGCCTTGGATTTGGGGTTTAGGGTTCAGGGTTTAGGGTTTAGGGGTTCAGGGCTCAATGTTCGGAGCTTAATTAGGGTTTAGGGAACCCTGAGGTGAGAAACCCTCAACCCTCAAGCATCGAAAATCCCAAGCGCACTCTATGGACCCCTAAACCCTAAACCCTAAACCCTAAACCCTAAACCCTAAACCCTAAACCCTAAACCCTAAACCCTAAACCCTAAAGCCCAAACCCTAAACCCTAAACCCAAAACCCTAAACCCTAAACCCGCACACCCCAAACCCTCGCCCTACGAAGCCTGCCACACCGCTTTGACACCCTAGCACTCCGAGACTTGTGGGGGGGGGGGGGGTGGGTGAGGGGTTTAGGGTTTAGGGTTTAGGGTTTAGGGTTTAGGGTTTAGGGTTTAGGGTTTAGGGTTTAGGGTTTAGGGCTCGCAAGGGGCCAGGGGCAGAGGCTTTTGCCCGAAACCCCGACTCCCTCCACCCACAAAGCATCCCACAGCATCATCGTCAGCTGCTGTGCCATGGCCAGAGCCTGGTTCCGCATGTGTGCTTGGAGGTTCTTAGGGTTTAGGGTTTAGGGTTTAGGGTTTAGGGTTTCAAACAATTACAACTGTACTCATAACCAGAGCCTGGTTCCGCTTGTGTGCTTGGGTAGGCGCGGGGGGTTATGGGTTGAGGGTGTGAGGTCTGTGGCTTAGGGTGCTCCATGATGAAAGAGAGAACCCCAAGAAACTAAACCTCAAGCCTTGGGATGTTTCTGCTGATACTAACAGTCCTTAATGGGCTTGTAGTATCCCTAGTATAATGAGTAGCATAGGGTATTAAGGTTTCTGAGCATGACCCCAATAGTATGGGGCACGCTTTAGGGGGTTACGAAAATAGGGGACCCCAAATATAGACCCCCAAATATTAGAATTCCCTTAAACCCTAAACCCTAAACCCTAACCCCTAAACCCTAAACCCTGAACGCCCCCATCTGGGGGGGGGGGGGGGGGGGGGAAGGTTCTACTTTTTGCATCCTCCCAGGGGTCTGGGTATAGGCGGCGTAGAGTTAGGGTTTGGGCGATTCAGGTCTTCGGGCAGGCACGCCTCGGAAGTGAAGCAAAAGGTGAACATGGAAGCCAGTTTAGGGTTTAGGGTTTAGGGTTTAGGGTTTAGGGTTTAGGGTTTAGGATTTAGGATTTAGGGTTTAGGGTTTAGGGTTTAGGGTTTAGGGTCTAGGGTTTAGGGTCCAGGCCTTCACCAGCACATTCGCATGCCTTAGCAGAAGCTGGCGTGTCTCTCCAAGTCCTAGAGTAGGGTTTGGGGTTTGGAGTTTAGGCCTTAGGGTTTCGGGGTGTAGGGTGTAGGTGTAGGGGTCAGGGTGTTGGGTTGATTGACAGTGTGGTTTGTGAGTTGCTTAACTCAGCTCACCTCCAAAAAGCAAGCCTAATCTCCCAAACCACCTCCTGACACTAAACCCTAAACCCTAAACCCTAAACCCTAAACCCTAAACCCTAAACCCTAAACCCTAATATCCAGGACCCTTGAACCTCTGTGGTTCTCAAAGTTCTTAACCCTGGGCCCTAAACTGAAAACCCAAGAGACCCCAAAACCCTAAACGACGTTGAGACCCTACAGGCCTTGGGGACCAAGGTTCAGGGGCTTCGGGTCTAGAGTGCAGCGTTTGTAGGGTGTAGGGTTTAGGGCTTGTAGGGTTTGGGGTTTGGGGCTTTGTAGCGTTTAGGGTTTAGGGCTTTGTAGCGTTTAGGGTTTAGAGTTTAGGGTTTAGGGTTCAGGGTTCAGGGTTCAGGGTTCAGGGTTCAGGGTTCAGGGTTTAGGGTTTAGGGTTTAGGGTTTAGGGTTTAGGGTTTAGTAACAGCAGGCAGGGTGCTGTCGCGTGCAGAGCGCCTCAATCACCACGGGGACGTGCCTTTCATGGCCCCTAAACCCTATGAAGCCCTAAACCCTATGAAGCCCTAAAACCTAAACCCTAGCCCCTGCCCTAAACCCTAAACCTAGGCTGCCCAGTAAGCTAGGCTAAAAAAGGGTGCCCATTTTTGCTTAAAGGGGTTTATAAGGGAACCTAAACCCCGAAAAAAAGGGAATAAGGGTACTACTGGGCATCCTAGAAACCCTAAATCCAACCCCCCCACTCACCTTGGGTTTAGGGAGCAGTTGGGCTTGGAGTAAAGCATAGGGTGTAGCCTTTAGGGTGGAGGGTTAAGACCGTTAGGGTGTAGGGTTAAGAGCCGAGGGTTTAGGATCCAGGATCGAAAGTGGAGAGCCTAGGGATTGCTACTTGCCCGTTTTCCTACAAGAGCTAAACGTTAACACGTGGGCTCTATTGAGATGGTCGAAAGATGATGGTGCTGCCCTTAAACCCCAAGCCGACCCTGATTTTAGGGGGATTCTCATATTTTGGGGTCTATGTCATTAAGTGCCCTGTATTTGCGCAAACTCCCACATGCATTTATAAGAGCTTCCTTTTCTGATTCGCGTCTACTGCACGGGTGTTGGAGCACCCCCCCCCCCTCAAGCACCTTAGACTCCATAGCCTGAGCCCCTTAACCATGAACGCCCTAAACCCTAAACCCTAAACCCTAAACCCTAAACCCCAAACCCTAAACCCTAAACCCTAAACCCTACTAATCCTAAACCCTATACCATTCACGCTCCAAGCCGTGAACCCCCCAAGTCTTCATCCCAAAACTTCCTGTGAAAACCCCGAAGCCCGGTGGGGTTAGAAAGTACAGTTAACCCTAACCCTAAACCAAAAACCCTAAACCCTAAACCCTAAACCCTAAACCCTAAACCCTAAACCCTAAACCCTAAACCCTAAACCCTAAACCCTAAACCCTAAACCAATTACAATTGGTTCATAAGTACCAGGAACCTCCAAACAGTGGGCACATGCGCACCTGCTCCGCATCTTCCGCTCCATGAGGATGGCGTGCGCCAGCTTTCGCACCTGGAAAATGAGACCACGGGTTTAGGGTCTAGGGTTTAGGGTTTAGGGTTTAGGGTTTAGGGTTTAGGGTTCAGGCTCCAACAAGAGGAGCAGAAGGGTCGCCTTTCTTACCGGGTCTATACTGGGGTGGGTTTGGAGGCTACATAGCGGTTGGGGCCCACCGAAATCTTCGAAGCTATTCCAAAAATCAACCCCAGCGTAAGGCTTTATGACTTAGGGTGGTCTTGGGTTACCTGTTGCAACTCTATAAGGGATCCGAACCATGAAAAAAGACCCTTTTCTGATTGAGGGATTCGGAATAAGGATGTTCCTGTGCGTCCTGGACGAGGTTCACGGGGCCGACCTCTCCTTAGGGGTTTAGGGTTTAGGGTTTTTGGTGTAGGGTATAGGGTCTAGAGTTTAGGGTTTAGGGTTTAGGGTAGAGGGTTTAGGGTTTAGGGTTTTTTGTTCTGGAGGCTTTTGGCCTGGGTCACCAGACTGCCTGCTTCCGTCATCTCTTCCGTCATCTAACCTGCTTCATACGTCACATGGTTCATATGTCGAAGCATGAAGCATCCTGGCATGATGCATACGTCGTCGCCTATGTAGGAAACTGTCCACAGATCAAGTCCTAAACCTACCAACCCTCCTGAGCCTTGATCCCTAAAATCGTATGACACCCCGGGCCCGACTCCTTAGGAACCCTGAACCCTAAACCTTCTGACGAAACCCGAAACCCGAAACCCTGAACCCTGAACCCTGAACCCTAAACCCTAAACCCTAAACCCTAAACCCTAAACCCTAAACCCTAAACCCTAAACCCTAAACCCTAAACCCTAAACCCTAAACCCTAAACCCTAAACCCTAAACCCTAAACCCTAAACCCTAAACCCTAAACCGAACCCTGAAACCTTCCTGCGCCAAGTGCGGGACGCTGGTCGCGGCTGCCACGCGCAGCGGGGCGACCACTTCGAAGCGATAGCCCTGGGCTCCTGGAACTATCATAAGGCACCAGGAAGTGCAAGGGGTCAAGGTCTAGGGAGCGGGTGTACCAGTTAGGGACCATGTCCACAAGTAAGGCCCCCAAAAACCGATTTAGGGTTTAAAGTTAGATAGGGGCTTCGGGTTGAAGATTAAGCTTGCGGCTTATTGGTGTTGAGGCTTGAAGGTTGGGACTTAAGTTTAGAGGGTTTAGTTGGGCCTACGGAGAACGCATGATGCACTGAAAATGGCTGAGCAGTGGCCGGGGAAGGAAGTTTTAGGGTTTAGGGTTTAGGGTTTAGGGTTAGGGGTTTAGGGTTTCGGGTTTAGGGTTTCGGGTTTCGGGTTTAGGGATGATCAGGTTCGAGTGTTCAGGGCTCTGGGGCTCCAAAGATTTAGTCTGCAGGGTTGAGGGATTATAGTGTTCTTGGGCTCAGGGTTGAGGCTTAGGGTTTAGGGTTTAGGGTTTAGGGTTTAGGGTTTAGGGTTTAGGGTTTAGGGTTTACGGTTTAGGGTTTAGGGTTTAGGGTTTAGGGCTTGGGTTTAGGGCTTTTGGATTGTACGGGGTTCAGGATCCACAAGTCTAAGCCCGAAAGCACTAATCCCCCCTCACACCCAAAGAGAAATGCCATTGCAAGCCGCTTGTATACCCCGAATTCGCGTGACATGCCGCCCCCCATCATTCCTCTGTGTCGGGGCGTCCCTAAACCCTGTAAGCCTCAACCCCACCCTACACCCTACACCCTACTCCCTACACCCTACACCCTATACACCCTACACCCTACACCCTACACCCTACACCCTACACCCTACACCCTACACCCTACACCTAAACGAGGCCTCCGGAGGAGGGTGCCACCAGGAAGCGGATCCCACGGATGGGTCGCCCGGAGAGGCGGCGATCTTGGGAGGGGTTCGGGTTTAGGGTTTTGGGGTTTTAGGGTTTAGGGTTTTAGGGTTTAGGGTTTAGGGTTCAGGGTTTCGGGTTTAGGGTTTAGGGATTCGGGCTTAAGGTTTCGGATCTAGGGTTTAGGGCTTAGGGCTTCGGATTTTGGATTTAAGGTTTTGGGTGTTGGGTTTTGGGATCTTGGCGGTGGGCGGGGTTGAGGGGCCAGGGTTCAAGGCTTAAAGGGCTAGGGTTTCGGGTTAGGGTTTTAGGGTTTAAGGGTTCAGGAGTTTCGGGGTCCAGGGTTAAGGGGGGGAGGGAGGACTGCACAAAGCCTTTCACCTTGCCAGGTTGCCAGATGTCTTGTGAGGGCGAAGAAAAACCGCGGTAAGGTTTGGGGGGGGCCTTTCTTTCGGGATATAAGAAGGGACCCCAACATATTCTCCTCTTTATCTACCTTGTGCAGTTCTTAAACACCGAAGTCGCTCCTACATTTCGCCTAAGGTCCCTTATGGAGGCTCCTCTCCTTCGGGCCCTTGAGTTTGTCCAAGACAGGTACGCACGCTTTATTGCTGTCTGCATGGGGACTTAAACAACCCTAACACCCTCAAACCCTAAACCACCAAAAATCCTCAAAGCCAAAATCCCAGCCAAGCCCCAGAGCCGCAGACCCAAGGCCCTGAAAGCCCAAGCATAGAGCCCCAAACCCAAAACCCTAGATCCCATGTGCTCAGTTCTCTAGGTTATGGTTCCTCTTGGGGTCCTTGTCATAAGGCCGCCCGTCTTATTTACGGTACCCTACAATAGACCATCATCTAGAGAACTGACCATGTGCCCCAAGCAGCCCAAGCATCCCAAGCGACCAAAGTGTCCCAAGCAGCCCACATGTCTCAACAGGGCCCCAAGTGTCCCGGGAGAAGGCTTCAGGGAACCCTAAACCCTAAACCCTAAACCCTAAACCCTAAACCCTAAACCCTAAACCCTAAACCCTGAAGCCAAAAATCCACCCTAAGCCCGAAACCCGAAACCCAAGCCAAGTCGGAAAGTCCTGTCCAAACCCGCCATTGGCTGGGTGCCCAGCTTGCACCTTCCTCGCCACGAGGAGGCGGGGCCGGGGCCTTTCTGGATCCCTTTTGCTAAGGGATTTCGGGTTTAGGGTTCAGGGTTTAGGGTTAGGGTTTAGGGTTTAGGGTTTAGGGTTTAGGGTTTAGGGTTTAGGGTTTAGGGTTTAGGGTTTAGGGTTTAGGGTTTAGGGTTTAGGGTTTAGGGTTTAGGGTTTAGGGTTTAGGGTTTAGGGTTTAGGGTTTAGGGTTTAGGGTTGAGGGTTTAGGGTTTAGGGTTTAGGGTTTAGGGTTTAGGGTTTAGGGTTTAGGGTTTAGGGTTTAGGGTTTGGGGTTCAGGGTTTAGGGTTTAGGGTTTAGGGTTTAGGGTTTAGGGCTTAGGGTTTACTAAACCCTAAACCCTAATTAGGGATCAAAAGTTTGGGCCCATAAGTTGGCTCCCTTGTCATCTAGCCCTTGTGTACGCTACATTTTATCAGGGTCCATGGGGCTCCAGGGGCCACACCAGCGGGCCCATGGTTCCAACCTTGGACTTTTGTAGGGGCTCCAGATCTGAGGGCTCACGTGGGATTATTGTTGGGCCTAAATAGGGAGTAATTATAGGGATTATGAGGATGATAGGCATTGCAGGCTTTCTATGGCTCATCGGTTTGAAAGTGTGTGTTGGGGTGCTAGGGTTTACGTTTAAAGGGGCTATGGGGTTGATAGGGTAGCCTTTACCCTAAACCGGGGGGCTTGAGGTCTAGGAGTGCCGGTTGGGGTAAAGTAGGGGTTTGGGGTTGATGAGGTGTTTACTGCTTAGGGTTTGCGCAGATTTTCCTTGGCACTGTTAAACTGGTAGTCTTTGCTTTTTTGCGGGAACCTTTTCAGCACCACGCGAAGGACCGGGCTCTGCTTTGTGTCTGATGTCTTTTTGGCTTGGGTGGAATGACTGCATCTCCATTCGTTTCTCTCACGACCGCCACAAGCCCCTTCACAGGAAATAGGTTCGCAATGGGGTTTAGGGTTTCGGGTCAACGCTATAGGGTACAAGGGCTTAAGATTGAGGGGTTAGGGTAACAGCCCTTGGGAGGTGTACCCCAAACCTGAAACCTTAAATTTCTAATCCCTAAACCCTAAACCGTAAACCCTAAACCCTAAACCCTAAACCCTAAACCCTGACTACTGAGGCCCGGGTGCCTTCCTTTTGCCTCGCAGCTCCAAAGCCGGAGTCTCTGTGATGGAGCGTGGGGGTTCATGGGATGGGGTTTTGGGGTTTGGGGTTTGGGGTTTGCAAGGGTTTAGGGTTTATAAGTTTAGGGTTTAGGGTGCCCTCGAACCCTTAAAGCCTGAAACACACATTACAAGCCAACATGGCATACCGGGAGTATTTGTCGTTTACGGGGTTGCTTTTCGGGGGTAGAAAATTTTTGAAGCCACCTTCACACAGCTGGCAGCCCTACCACCTTTAACCTACAAAAAGAAAATGCGCATGCATTTTGAAAACAGGCCGCTGTAGTTCTTTAGATCAGGGTCACCCTTGGGGCGCGAAAATTACCCTAAACCCTAAACCCTACACCCTAAACCCTAAACCCTAAACTCTGGTAAAGAGGGCTTTCGACTTGGGGGCCTGCGCATCCTCCCCAAGCTAAACCCCCAGGCTCTGTGCACGGGCAAGTCGGGTGCTGTGCCTCGTTCTGCGGAAAGGGCCGCGAGCATTTGAAGGTTCATGGGGCTTATTAACCAAATGTAACTGTACTTATAACTGTACTTATGACCATATAAGGGCACTTAAGGGGCGTATAAGTGGGTTAAAAGTACAGTTACAATTGGTTAATAAGTACCATGAACCTCCGAGTATGGCCCAATTACTTGAAGATTCATGGGCAGTTCTTCATGCTAGTCTGGAGTCGGACAACTTTGGTAGTCATAGCTACTTGAAGCCCCATTGTGGCATCTGCAACACTACCTCGAACTGCCTCCCATGTACCTCCAATTAGACGATTGGAGAGCACTGAGCCCACGACGCTCAACTGGACAACCAAGGTAATTACACGCATGGCCAGCTTCAACGATGTCAGTTCGCTGTGATGAGGGGAAAGAGCCGATTTTCTAGGAGCCCCCCCCCCGGAACAGGGACCAACATCTTAGAGAGAGCTCCCCATATTGGGCCCCTCAGCCCTACAACCCGACACCCCACCCTAAAACCCAAACCGCTAAACCCTAGAACCCTAAACCCTACAACCATAAACCCTATAAACCCTAAACCCTAAAACTCTACAACCCTAAATCCCTAAAACCCTAAAACCCTAAAACCCTAAAACGCTAAAATCCTAAAACCTAAACCCTACTAAGAACGCGAAGAAGGCTCAACGTCCAGGTTCATTGCGTCGCTGCTGCCAACCTCTGCACGATTTTCAAGACTTGGAACTGAAAAAATTAGGGCCAGGGTTTAGGGTTTAGGGTTTAGGGTTTAGGGTTTAGGGTTTAGGGTTTAGGGTTTAGGGTTTAGGGTTTAGGGTTTAGGGTTTAGGGTTTAGGGTTGAGGGATATTCAGAAAGGATAACTCATTGATTGCCTCATATGAAATGGGGTCAGGAACCGCAGGGTGGTTCCTCTG